ATTATATATAAATATAGTAATATGTGTATATATACACATATAAACATAAAAATAAAGCATGGTCCAGGAAAGGGGAAAAACAAGAACAGAAAAAAAAAAACAATCTGGACCTCACCAAAGGAAAGGGCTTATGGAGATGTTTTACAGAGCGAGACAGACTTGCTCTAGAACCTGCTTATCCCAAGAAGAGAATCAAAGAACGTTGTGTAGTTTTTCCACGTACCTCAGCTTCAATATAAGGAAATTCAGATACAAGACGTTTTCCAACAATAGGCCACCTCTTTCCAGTAACTTGGGCTATTTTGGCCACCTCAAAAGCCTTATCACCATATGTCGAAGCTAGATGCTGAGCCACCTATGGAGTTGAAAACAAAATTCGATATGCTTCTGAAAGCACATCAAATATACACACGTTTTTTTCTTGTCAATTCTCTTATCACCAGTAACAACTAGGCTGAAGAGAGTATTAGGTTTTGATTGTGTGGGAGGAAACCGCTTGTGTTGTGAATGGGTTAGACCAGCACTGACACCACTATGTACGTACCATGTAACTGTGACTAGTGACGCTCCAACTCTTCTCCTACAATGATCACATCTGAAGTACAGATTTTGTTGGGATCAAAGGAAGACAGACCCTAGCACGTCATAACGTTTTAAAGCAGGAAACAGTCAAGATTAGGAGGAAGGGAAGAGGGGAGAAAAGAAGAACAATTACTAGAATTTATTTTTGTTAAAACTAGCTTTGCTTCGGCCAGATAATAAGCTCTTATCAGGTTCAACAGACCTTTGTACAAGTTATGCTGGCATTAGATTTAGTGGGGAAAACAAAACCCTCTGACACAGAAACATCAGAGCATCAACAGAAAGCATGACTCACCTCACTTTCAAGTCCATAGTCTTGGACCAACCTAATGTAGAGAGTGGGACTCCAGTCCTCAGCCCCTTGTAGCTGCAGTCCGATGGTCTTACTGGAACCTGCCTTCAGACCATGCGCCTGAACAGCTGCGTCGATGGTGTCCTGCGCCATGGCACGGTAGGTTGTCCACTTCCCACCTGTAACCACACATTTACTTCTTTATTTGGGGACAGCAGGTGGAATACCAACTTGGTATGTACTATATGTATTTTATATCACATCATTGTTACTAGACTTGCTCCAACAAGCCAGTCGTGCCACCAGTAACATCATTATCTAGTTATAGGAACATGAAGGATTATCCTGTAACAAGGAAAGTTTTGAATAAAATAACTGGGGAAGCCCAAAACTGTACTTTAAGAGAATTTCCAGTACCTGCTATTGTGACAAGGCCACTATCACTAATGGTAACGACATGATTCCGGGATATCGACTGCGTGTCTTTGGAGTTGGGGTCTGTGACCAGAGGACGAATGCCACTCCATGCTGCCAACACGTCTCCTCTTCTCACTGTCCGGAACCAAAGATCAGCCAAAGTCAGCCAGGAACTGATGAACATTTATCTCATATCCCTCCCGTGGCCTCTGTGGCATTGCCTCCAAGCAGGCACTCGCTGTGAAACAAGGAACTGCACCACACCATGCTTGTTAGTGGAGCAACTCAAAAAGCTGGAGAAGATTCTCCAAAGTAGTGGAATAAGCTGGGCTACAGAATTAAAAACAGCACTGCCCTGATCAGTATCAATAATATTCTCTAGCCCAAAACAAAGTCAGAGACAGAGAGGTCCATTTTTCATGCTGGTTAAAAATTCAAAGGAATAGAGATAACCCGGGAACTGATCAACCAAAAGAGATTCAACTGTCATAAACTCACCAATCAGCTCAAAAAAACCCCAAACCCAAAAACCAAACCCTACCAAAACCAAAACACACAGACCCCAGCACCATGTCTTCTCCTTGTTTGTCTGTGCTGACAGGACAGTCCTTACATTACGTTTTAGAAACAAAAATAAAGTTTGATCCCCATGAGCACAGCGTTTGCTTTTAGGACTTCAAAGCTTTTTCTCTAGCTTGTAGGTTATTTTTCCCTAGTTCTCCTCCTGACAAGTGATCTTTAACCGCACTTCCAATGGAGACTGCGGATACACATACGCACAAGCAGAAAATTTACTGGCGAGGTTGTGGTCGGCTGCAGCACATCCCCAAAGCCTGTATCCCGACGCCAGCGCTTGCTACTGCACAGCAACCCAAAAGGGCCCAGCTGACTTGTCAAAAACCACCCAGAAGTCCACGTCTCTTACACAACCACCTCTTCCAACCCTGCCTTCTCTTCCTCCTCCTCATCACTGCTTCAGAAACGCTGTCCCGCTCCACAAGAAGCCCAACTAAATGGCCACTTACTCCCCCCTGCCATGCTGCTACTCTGCTTCCAGTCCAGTTACAAGCATAGCCCTAAAGCCGACCCTGACTTCTCAGGAAAAAACTTGGAGGAAGAAAACCTGAAGGCATCAGGTAGTCACAAAAGCCCTTAGCGTTTGTAGGAAAATGCCCCAGCCTCCAAAAGTCACTTTTTTTAATATATAAAACATGGGACCAATAGAGAATTTAATTAAATTAGTTTTGTTGCTTATTAAATTTGCAGTAGAAAAATCGACTGATCTGCTTTATACTGAAGTCTTTGGAACTTTTTTTTTTTTTTTTAATACAACTTTCAAATAAACGATAATTGAAAAATCAGTAACGGGGTGTAAAAATATCCCCAAAGAACACAAAATAGATTTCAGAAATCAATGGTGCTCTGCCAGCATGTTTAACCTGCCAAAATGAAGTGTTAATCACAGAAATAAGATACCATATTACGTTTATAAACTAATGAAACTAGAAAAAGCAGCATGCGTGACACTATAATTAAACAGTTGGAACACATCCAAGCCTGTGTAAGTTGATAACCCTGGCACTGTCTCTGGCAGCAAAAAGGCAGGTCTGCAGTGAGTTGATATGGCCAGCACAGTTGTTAATTCAATAACAAGCAATCTATAAACACTGCTAATTGCATATGTGAAAAACAGCGTGCACCTAGGTAGGTTTCATTCAAAAGAATTAAACCCTTCATAATGTACTTCTGTAAAATACCTTGCAAAATCTCTGTCTTATTCGCAGTCTTAACTCCACCAGCTACCTGTCTGGCCTCCCACACTTACTTCTGTCGACTTCTGCTCAAGAAACTTAGAAGTACATTTCCCAAAGACTTTTTCCGAACTTTATACAGTACAGAGCCATCAGTTATCCGCTTCAGGAAACAGGCAAGCTAGCATTTCCAATCTCCGGACCGCACGTTTTCCTAAATACAAGGATGTTGCAGTGTTCCTGACAGAGTGCTTTTCAGATTGATTTTAATGCTGCCACAACAGAAATACAGAAGTATAAATGCTTTCAGAGAATAATTTCAAAAAACCTCACTACGAAAAGAAGCCTCTCTGCGTTACACCAGCACGGCGTCAACACAAAGCAGGCCAGCATCTTGCAACAAACGCGTTCTCAGCTCAGCTACCGAAGGGAACAACTGTCAACCAAGTAATTTTTACAAATTCCCCTTCTCGCCTGTTATACTTTCCTCTCCCACTGAAAACTGACACTATTAGATATTCACCATATCAAGAAAAGTAACTTCTAAGAATAAAGCACCTAGAAAAATGAAAATGAAACCAAAAATACAGAAAAAGTCAGAACAGCTCTTCCTTCAAGAACAGCAGGTGAATTATTTGGTGTACTTGCGTTGACGTACAACCAAACTGTCCCAGTTCTGCAAAACCTTGCATCTGCCACCCAAAGAGAGCAGACTGGCTCGGCCGCGGAGCGAGACGGTCAGCGCCAGTCAGATGAAAGGTGTGTGAAATCTGAACTGGCAGATACCAGCCGATTTCCATTTCAATAGTCCAAGTAGCGCAGGTATATCTGGAAAAGCATCATTTTTTTTAGCTCCGATAACATAGATCAAGACGACACTTCTGTCCCCCTAGTTTTAGAAACCCCCAGATGCACAAGAACCATAGTTACCAGAGTCACAGGAAAATCTGCAGACAGGCAGCATTTACTCAAACTGCAATGCCACAGACTCATCTGCACCTTTCCAGGGAAAAACAGAGCTGGCACAGGTTTACCTTCAACGTCAACGCTAAGGTAGTTGCGCACTTCATTCAAAATGAAGTTTATATCTTCTTCTGTTGGTATCGGATGGGAAGTAACATCAGTCGGGCTGTCTGTGGTCCCTGCTATAGTCATCTTCTCCCACGGCAGGAAGAAGATCACTCTGCCGTCGCTGGTGGCTGGGTCAAGCAGTCCCATGTTATCAGGGCTGAAATAAAGAAGGGACACGGTTCAAAACACGTCAGGCATCACCAGGGATTCTGTTCTCGCACACCTTGTACCCCAGGCAAAGCATTAGAACATTACCTTTGTTCTTAGGTCAAATGATTTTTAAAAAAAAAAAAAAAAAAAAAAAAAAAAATTTAGAGATTTCACATGTGGCCATGACCCGATTTTAAAAGGTAGTCTGGAGTTCTGAGCAATAAGGCCCCTGAATGTGATGCTCAGGTATTAACAGAATTTGGTTTCTTAAGCAAGGTAGCAGACCACAACCTTAAATCGAGCAGTCAGGCCTTTGGCACCTCACATTTCCATTCACTCTTGAAAGTCTTGCTCATTGGAATTTCAAATAGAAACATTTGGAAATTTTAAAACAGCAATTACTTGAAACTCCGGATGGAACGAACAACTGGTTTTAATCCAAAAAATGGACAATAATTTATATTATGCCACAAAGAGAAGGGAAGGCTGAAACAGAATACACGTTAAGATGGAAGAAATAAGAACAGAACCCTAGTTCCGTCTGTCTTACCATAGTTAAAATAGAAATGAATAAGGGAAGCACGTATACAACAGAGAGGGAGAATGAGTTCTAGGGCCCACGCAGCTAGATCCCATGCATCTAGGTATATAACAAGATAAATTTAAGATGAAGTATTATTAACCCAGGTTATCAATGATCTGCTCCCTAAACAGAGGGCAAAAGCGAAGGCGTACAAAATCCCGACGGCTTCTACAGCCTGCGCTCGCCGTAAGGGTGGGGTGGGAGGGGAGGTGGGGGTCAGCAACAGAAAGTCGAGAAAAACCAAGAGAACAGCAACACTGAGATCGTAGGCATTACGAGGACATTTAAAGAGAAAAATCCCGCTGATAATGCAGCCTGAGTTTGCTGACCACCTGCCACCTGAACAGGAACAAACGCCCACAGGCTCCCCAAGGATTCGGACCAAGAAGCGTATTCCGCACGCTCCCAGCTCTCACCACAGCGTTCCTGAACGGGGAACCGCGTTTTAAGGAAAAAAGGGCAAAAAGGTATCACCTCCGTAATGACTAACAGACGCTAATCGGATGCTAGTGTTCAGAGGTTGTTTTTTTTTTTAATTTATGCCAGTCCTACAAAGAGAGCGATTCAGTAAAATGAAGAAAACCAGTAGTTCTTCACACAGGGAATTGTAACTGGTGTATGAACGTCTCCACTTGTACGAACCCAGTTCTCCTTATCACTTATTAAATAGCTCTGCTTATATTTCAGAAAACACAAGGCTTCTACAAACACTCCAAAGCAAACAGCTTTTGTCGAGGAAACCATTTCAGCTGCCCTCTCCCTTCCCCACCCGTTTTCCTCTACAGGCAAGGTGCTGCCGGTCACTGCGAGCCCCCGGTTTGGCACCCGTTCCTGACAGCGGGAGGATACAGGAGTCTACGGAGGAGGACAGGAGGCATGCATTTAGGTGCTAATAAGGACCATCGGAGGGGAATAATTCAATGTCTGAAATAACTACTAACGCAATAAGCTGAAGGTAGACAAAGACCTGCTTGGGTATGAATTACCCACTTAAGAGAGCCGCAAGCTGAATCACGGAGTATTTCATTTTTAGGGACTCTAAACTGATTACTGAAGGTAAGTTTTCAATATCTGGAAAGGCTAGAAGAGAAGCTGAAAATTTCATATAGAGCATGTATATTAGAACATTTTTTAGATGATATTTATAGACAGCTTAAGCATACAGTTGGAGAAGTACAATTTAATAGGGGAAGTCAACACAGATTTGTGAAAGATAAATCACGTCAGGCAAATGATTACTTTTTAAAATGAAAAAGCTATTGATTTAGAGACAGGGGAAACTAGAGATTTAATATATGGCAGAATATTCAGAAAACTTTAGACGTTTTCTCAAAAGTATGATTTTTTTAATGTGATTTCGTAAAAACTGTTAAAAGTAAGGAAGAGAAACAAGTAACGACTTGTTCATCAAGTCTTGTACTAAGTTTCACCGCAACACCTACGGACTGAAGCATTTTCAGTTAGATTACACAGCAAATGATGACAAAGGATGAAACAGTTTTCCATATGCCAATTGATTTACTGAATTAACAACTACCGGCTATCCTGGGAAGCTTTCTCAATCTCTTCTTGCTATGTTTGTTCCATCTTACATAAATAACTGAAAAGCCATGAAAAAAAAAAATTAAAATAAGGTGTTTCCTGTCAAAAACAAGCATCCTAACACCCAAATATTTGCTGTTCTGGGATTCCAGATGCACTCGACCAAAGCACCACAAATGCCGTTAAAGAGCAAATACGTGACTTTCCACAGAGTAGAACTAAGGTTGAACAGACAAGTTTACCTGGAATCTGGAATGCAGAGCAGATAGGAGAATTCAAGAAAGACGGAAAACATCTGATATTTGTCAGAAGGGAAAGGGGGGAAAAGAAAAAAAAAAAAAAAAAGAAGTATTGCACTCATAGGCACATTTCAGGCAGGAAGCCTATCTGAACACAGGGTAGCCAAAACCCCCTCTCATTTTAGCAGATAATAAACAATAGGGATTGAAAGAGACTTGCTGCAGCTACTAGAATAGATGTGTATACTAAAAATAGAATTAATTAGAGGAGGAATACTGGGACTATTAATGAAGAACATAAATGAGTAAGAAACCCAGGGGAAACGAATGCATTAGGTTAATATTAGGTTTACAAATCTTAACTACGTTTATGTCTAAAAACCTCTACCTGTTACAAAATTTTCATTTCTGTGGGTCTGGGCCAAAATTCTATAAAGATTTACCGCAAGGCAAGCGGACGCAGTGAAGTGACAATCTTCCTTTGTTGAGGATTATTCCTTGGCACCAGGAGAAGACTGGATACAACGAAGATTAAATACCACGAGTATTTTCCATTTAGCAGACAGTTCCTGGTTTCAGCTATCCCACTTCAAGGAAATGCAGTACAGTTTTATCTAATCAGCTGCACTGCGGAGGCAGTATGTGGGTAGATACTATTTTACACGAAAAAGTAATGCCCACACGCTGACATACACAGGGGAACAAGGAGAACAAGAATTCTCTACATTTCCCATTAAATTTATTAGGTTATTACACAATAAATAAATTAGAGTCCTCATGCAAATCAAGCCAGCTTCTACTTTGAATTTACAAAGTGATTTGAAGTTTTAAAGCTTTACATGTTTTTGCTGTAGGGCCGTGAAGTCAATCACACATGTGCTTCTCATGGCGTGTGAGGACACCAGGATTACAACCCACTTCTCCACGCTGCTAGTGCTTTAAAGCAGCTATCGGGTCATCTTCCCATTTTTCATGTGGAAAGACACCAAAAAAAGAAGAGAATGCAAGAGTGATTTAACACGAGGCCAAAAATGCCTCAATTTTACAGTCTATGGTCATGCCCTATTGGGACAGCTCCGGCAAAAACAACGTGTTGTGCACTGGAAGCCTGAATTTATATTCACAGAGGAGTGCAATGATGATATGGAAGGCATTATTATAAGTGCACTGTATCAACAGAATTGGGATAAGTCTACAAATGTGAATTTCCATTAGGATGCTAATGACTTCAGAAACCAAAGGTAATATTTGAGCTTCAACTGACGAGGCTGACTTGGCAGAAGGGGATTTGGTTTTGCAGCAGCAAATAAGGAACGAGGCAGGAGTCTGCAGAGAGCGCCCAGAGTGCCACGGAGCCTCTTCTGTCACGGGGGCAGAGCGGGGCGAGTCCTTTCCACCGAAACGGCCGCGGGTGGGTGGGCTTGCGTCCACAGCAGTGGCAGAATTTAATCCTGTTATTCTGAACTACTTATTATATTGCCTACGTGCTGCATTCATACTTACTGTGAGCGGAGTGGTGATGTGGCAGAGCGTTACTGCATAGAGTTTGATATTTAACAGGACAAGAGTTTTCCTCTCTGGAAGGGTTTCTTAAGGGAGGTGAACAAGCAGTCAGTACACTCGACTCAAACTCATTGTTAAAAAAAGGTGCTTTTCACAAGCCTGTTGTAGATGCTCTGCCTAAGCGCCCTTCTGCGTCAGCAGGAGTTCTGCCTTGGTGAGTTTTAACTAAGAACTACAAAACTTCAGTCTTTTCTGAATATATGAAATTGTTATTCTCGCAGGCAGTGCCAGAATCCTCTTTAAAAAAAAAACAACCCAAAATAAAAATCAAATCATGCGTTCAAACCTACCGTAAAACCCACAAATGCGTCTCCGCAACCTTATTTATTACAGACGCCAGCAGAGATTGTTACAAATGGTTTCGGCTTTGGGTATCGTTACCTGTAATAACCAGGCATCACAATATGCACGCCTGCACTTGGCTGACAGATGTTTGGTACTTCCTGATCATCCATTTTGCGCACAGAGTCTGTGAAAGGTCCCGTAGCATTGATAACACATTTGGCTTTGACATCAAATTCCTGCCCTGTGAAAGAAAACAGTATCCATCACATACATCATTTGTTTTCCTGCTCACTGACACTCTCTATTATTAATCTACCTATGAGCTTAACCTACTGTAAAGTATATCGTGCCTCTCTGAACAGAACAGCTGGAACGGTTTTTAAAAATTAACAAAGTTTTCACGTAAGACCAGATTTGAAAGAACACGTTTTACGGTGAAATTCCGCCTTATCTGCGAAGGCAGAAGAAGGCAGACTGGGTAGAAGAGGTTCAGCTGAAATCTGCCTCTCAAACGAGAGGGATTTCAGTCTCAACCCATAGACTCGGTAAATGGGATTATTACTGTACAGCACGGAGCATTTTACAATATCATCTTTGCTTGACAGAAGGGTTTGGATGTAAAGCTTAGTCTACCCTGCCAAAACACTAGGATTTGAGTGAAAAATCTGACAGAAGCTAAAGATGATTGATTGACACTAATGGCATGCCACTGCACTCTGGGAAGATGGCTCCTTTCTCGGTTCATCGGTATTTACAAACAGCAGCGCTCCCCGCTCCTCCCTCGCTTCGTTCTTCCTTTAACGAAGGGAGCGGGCTGTCGTGGCGCGCCGCGCCTTCCCTTCGCCCTGCCGCGGAGAAGCCCTC